CCAATGTTGTTGTGTTAACGTCGAAAAAAAATTAACCGCACTTCGTTGGACGTTGTCTCCACGCGAATGAGATAGTTGTTTGAATAGCCAAACTTCCGAAGTTATCGTTATCTTATCCGGAAGTTATATGCAATGTTCGAACATATTCACTAAGAAAATTTGGCCTGTTCACGGTAGCAAACGCTATTCATCGGCATGCGTTGGTCAACTTTGGTAGCCATTTTCTTGCTTAGACGTTTCGAATACAGCCACCAAGAACAGGTCAAGAAATTTATATATCATTTTCCAATCGCGAGCACTACATTCGGGCGAAGACTGAGCGTTTAACGATGCCTATAGTCGTTGACAGGTTAAGAGGGAAGTGGAAGCTCCCCCAGCCTCTTTCCACATTATCAGAGCGAAAGCTGGAGAAGAGATGTCACAAAATGCGAAAGAATCGTAATTTCGTGTGCACATGTTAGATAAGTGATCGGCGTTCCACAAAATTTCAGTATGTTTTGAACTTAAGTTTTGAGTGCCTTCTTGTGTGAAGTTGCGTGGGCGTGGCACAAGCGAGCGCGCACGTTCCTTTGAGAAACATACAGCTATAGTTTGCTACAAGTTACGGAATCAGGGGAAGCGCGTCCCATCTCCTTCCAGTTCAGCAGAGCTGGAGACGAGGTTGCCTCTTCTCCAGCCTTCGTTCTACTGAAGTGAAAATATTTGGTAGGAGTTTCCCCATACTTTTTAACCATTAGCTTCAGTGACTTAAATTGAACTCCCCTAGACATGGCTATTTTGTCCACTGTAGTTTAACCCTAAGTTCTTACAAAAAATCTCCTTCGTCATCGTACCCATTGTGTCTACAACTTTTCTGCCTGAATTTATCGAACCAAGCCTCCGAAATGGTCTACCAAAGGTGAAGAATGAATGAGATTATTATATGGTCATACGGTGATTATAATATAATAATAAATAGTAAAAGAAGCCCGCATTCGTTATTTCACAAAGTAAAGTAATGTAATTACATTTTTTTATTAAATAAAGGGCATTTCTCATTTTAATCGATTACTCGTTTTAGTTATGGGTACAAAACTGGATATATTGAGCTCCTATTTAGTGGTGTTTGCTGTTTCCCAATATGGCAATATTTTCAGGAGTTCAAGGAGAAATGTATTTCGTGTAGGAGCCGTCATAACTGAATTTTCGTTTGCACGTTAGAGATCACCTGGCAGTTTAGATTTAATGAATACCCTTTCAATGTATGTTTTTAGGTTGCTTTCGTTACTTTGCAATGTAAACCCATAAAATTGAATTTTATTTCCAGTCACATGATAATTTTCCTATAATAAAATATATTTAGTTCATTTATTATTGCATTTAGGTTATTAGGTTATTTGGTAGGTAAGAACCAGTCTTGGGTAAGTTACTTTTAAAAAGTAACTCGTTACAGTTACAGTTACTTTTAAGAAGTAACGACGTTACTTTTTAGTTATTTTTTCAATAACACAAAAAATAGGAAAAAGCTAGAAAACGCCCCTCACCAAGTTTGATGGCATAAAATTAAACAGTACGCTTTTTACTTCATATCGTAACTTAGCAGAAGTTGCTTCTCGAAATTAGTGTTTGAAAATTTCCACGCCAGAGTGGCGGCAAAAATCAAAATACGAAACATGCGCAGTGTGGAGTACTGGCGCTAATCAAAATACGAAACAAGCGCAGTGCCCTCCGCGTGCATTGTTGTTTCACGGTTGATTCACCCGATTAAAAAGCGTTTTCACAGAAAAAAAAGAAAAACCACAACATAGATAGTGCTTCAAGACACTAAGATGTAAGTGTTCAGTCACAAGGTAAAAGCACGTGAGTAAAGATAACTAGATTTTTTTTTTCTTCATGAAATCTACACGTGGCTATACACCTTTTCCGTCTACCCTCGACCCAGCGCGTAACGTGCGTAGCCTCGACTCGGCGACTCGGCGCACAGCGGGAATAGTTCTTCCGGTTCTAACACTTCCGGTATGCGGGAGCAGGCCTAGCCGGCTGACAAGATGCTGAAGTGGTGCGCGTTAAACGGGTTTTGAAGCCCTTGACAGCGAAGTGAGTTGTAATATGATGGGTTAATACTTCGATGTATCATGTCCGCGCATATTTGGTCATCGGGCTGCCACTGCGCAGTCGTTGGCTGCAGCAGCAATTTCCGAAAACGGAAGATAGCGCGCGACAAATTGTGCACCGAACACAAGAATATCGCAAAGCGAATGCGGTTGTAACGTATAGGTGACATTCACTTGACGTAACTCGCTAGGTGCGCTGGCATCGGCCACCACGGTCGCCATCTTCGAGGTCTGCTTTTATCCCATGTAGTGTCAGGTGCCGTCTGGCCGGACATTTCAGCGTGGGATAGCAACATTTTACAACTTTAAAGCGTCTTTTTGGCCGAAACTATGGGTTATTCTTAGACTTTGGTGCTTTTAAAGCGCCGTGGGAATATTTTTTGTGTGTGATTTAGTTCATTTTTGTCGCTATCGGACTTTTCCGCCGCGGCGGCGTTGCTCCATCGGCTCAATGACGCGCTCCGTGTCGCGCGCCGTGCCCACGGCGGTAGCTCTTTTACGAGAACTGTGATTTTATACTTTGGGGCTTTTGTAGCACGGTGTTATTACTCTTTGTTTTGTTTTGCTAGTTCCCTTATTGTTTTTTCTCTAGCGGATTTTCTGCACTACGGCCGCGTAACCGTGTTGCTCCATCGCCTCCGCGTCGTTCGTCGTGCCTTCGGTGTTCGTTCTCTGCAGAAACATACCGTGCGGCTCACCGAGTGCGCAGCTAATGAATAGTGCGTCGCATTTTTTATTAGCCTGAACAATTTAAAAACCGCATGCAAGCGATTTGGCGAGCGACGATAGAAGCGACGGCGACCCGCTTCGCCGTCGCTCGGTCACTCGCGCGACGAGGCAAAGAGCATGAAAGCGACGGAAGCACACGACCAAAGCGATGAGCGATACGTTTTCTCAAAAATTCAAAAACCAAGCTACGCGACGAGCGACAGTGAAGGGTGAACCGCATGTAAGCGATTTAGCGAGCGACGGCGACAGCGACGGGAGTCGGCGACGAGCGACGGGAGTCGGCGACGAGCGACGGAGATTCCTCACGGTCGCTCGTAGCGTCGTTCGGTTTTTAGATTTCTGGAAATCGTCGCTCATAGCCTTGGTAGCTTGCTCCCGTCACTTTTATACGGTTTGCCTCGTCGCGCGAATGACCGAGCGACAGCGAAGCGGGTCGTCGTCGCTTGTCTCGTCGCCGTCGCTCGTCTTGTATCGTGGCTCGATCGCTGAATTTCTTACATGCGGTTCAGCCTTTACACACGGTACTCGGCGGCAACAAGGGAATTAAAACGGCTTGCCCCCGAGGTAAACTGTTTTCTCTATTCTGTTCAACGAAGCTGCTTCAACGATATGAAATTAGCACACACTACCAACTGACGACCGCATACACAAGCCAATCAAACGTCAAATAGCGACCTCGAAGATGGCGGATCGACGGTGGCGCTCCCTTGCAAAATCGAACCTGCAGGCTCGGTGAATACCACCTATACACTTTGCATCGCTTCCCCGCTGATATCAGCGGGGAAGCGATGCCCTATCAGCACATAAAAAAAACAAATAGGCAGTATAGAAACGGACATCTACAAGTGCAGTAATAGGCCTCGACAAGTCAAATGTAGAACGAATTTTGCAGCTTGTGGTGCATTACACCCTGGGTGTAATGATTGTTATTGGCTACTCAAGTTTTGTTTTTCATTCCGTTCATTCCTACGAGGCTGTGCATTATAATTTTGTGTGTTGCTCGGTAGCGACGCCCGTTAAAATACATTAATGGAAACCATACGAAAAGAGGGCGCAAAATCGTCGTCGTTCTCCCCCCCCCCCCTCCCCCCACCCCCCTTTCACCCCCATCTCCTGAATAGTTCCGACGCATCTGGGCGTCATACGAAGTAGAAATGTCCCGGTAACTAGCGATCGTACCTCGACGGTGCACAATAACAATAAACCTTTCGGCCCGCGTCGCCAACTCCGATTGTTAGTATTTCTATTAAACGATGATACTTCTATGCCCAGGGTCGCCCTCGCTCGCGCATAGACACCCTCCGTTAGTCATTCGCAGAAGGCTGTCATTCTTCACAAACAACAGCACGCGAAGAGTAAGCACTGGAAAACGTCCCCAGGAAAAGTGAACATGCCTCCGATTACGATTACCGGCGACGCTGGCGACGAACCTCTCGGCGCTGTTGGCGCAACAACGGGCGCCATGAAGGCGAATAAGCACGCCAGAACACAATAATTCACACTTTCAATAACAAACAAATGAAGAACTCACTAAAGGGAAAACAATGAAGATACGATGCACGGGGTCAATTGGGACAACGCGGGAGCTAGGAACAGCGCTGCTCTCCGCATACCAAAATGGGCGCACAACAACCGTACGCCAGACGGCGCGGCTGTCGCTGCAACACGCAAGATGGCGACGACTACGCGGAAAAGGTGTATATTCGGTTCGTGACTCGTGAGAAAGAACGTATTCACGAGTTTGTGCAAGGCCAACTTGACACTCGAAATGTCGGAATAGACGATTTGAAAAGTGCAAGGAAAATCTAAATTGTAAGTCATTCAGTGATATATTTTTCATAAAACACTGGAAAGTAACGACAAAAGTAACGTCGTTACTTTCATCGTTACCTCAGAAAAAAGGAATAGAACTACAGTTACAAGTTACATTTTAAAAAAGTAACTCGTTACAGGTACAAGTTACCAAAAAAGTAACGCGTTACTAGTAGCGCGTTACTAGTAACGCGCTACTAGTAACGCGTTACTACCCAAGACTGGTAAGAACTGATGGTAGACTCACACCTTATTTATTGAAATGATGGGTTTACGGGGTTAAACAATAGGAGAAAGGAAAATGTAATGTCCGTATATCGTATGAAGCTAGCTAACACTTTGGCCTTTGTGGTTTCAGATTTTAAAATGTCCAGTGGAGACTTCAAGCACGCAGTCCCCGTGGAAAATCCTTCCAAAGATCGATGCACCGGCTCTTTCATTGCCACCTGCCTTATAGTTATCTGCTGCCTTGTGCTATTAGGAATCCTCACAACCCCTATCATCCGGAGACTCTACAAAGACGAACTGGGAGGTACGGACCAGCGTTTTCAGAAGACCAAAGTCTGCCGGTCTTTGTCTTGCTATCGAATGACGAAGGAGATACAGGGAACGCTGACTTCAGCCGTGGCGCCATGTACGGACTTCTACTCGTACGTCTGCACAGGCTGGACCCACAACAACGTTAAAGGCGCCAACGTCACGTGGTTGGCGAGTAAGCGCTTTGTTGAGCAAATAGAGACTGCTCTCAAGTTGAAATCTCCCTCCCCAAACTTCCAGACCGTACTAGACATGGTGGTCCTCTTGTACCAGTCGTGTATAACCTCTACCACTGCTCCCTTGGTGGAGGGAATGAAGGTCGTGTTCGACCGTTTAAAGATCACCAACTGGCCCAACTTCGAGCACACTGACTGGGAATCGTTCGACGTCTTTACAGAGCTTATGGACGCCGATATCAACTCGGGTACAATGCTGCTATTCAAGTTTGAACGCTCATACCGATGGAACTTTGAGACTATGAGGACGTCCATACTACATACTCCCTACGTCTGTCCTTACGAAAAGATGTCAAGAAATTTTGCGGATCTTAAAGCACTTGAGCTCGAATACACAGAGTACGTGACAAAAGTTTTTGAACTGTTTAAACATACATACTCAGTCGCTGCTAAGGACGTTGCTAATATTCAGATTTCCCTGTGCAACGCTTTAAGCTCCAAAGCCACTTATAGCTACTACACATTCGGAGATATTGTCGCCAGGACAAAGAAACTCGGCCTTACAAAAGATGACTGGCTTAACGCCCTGAAACCGCTTGGCAAGTTTACAGATGCGACTCTTCTGCATACAAATGTCGATTACATGGAGACTGCTCTCAGGCTCACCCTGAGGGCAAGTCCAGAAATTGCTATGAAGTTCATCGGTTTCACAATTCTCCAACAAATGGCCTGGGTGCACGACGATCTGCGGAAAATTCGCGAGCAGTTCTCTTTCGTCAGAGAACCCGCTGTGAGTTCTGCTGTGCCGACCGACCCCTGCTCCAAAGTGATCCTGACGCACTTCCGGAAAGCGTGGAATATTTTCGCTATTACTATTGCCAACCCCAACAGCACAGTCTCCAAAGATGTAGATCAGTTGATACGCTCTGTCAAGAGTGCGGCGATTCGCAGAGTTAGGTCTTCCGCCTGGATGGACGAGACTTCCAAGTCTAGGACGATATCAAAATTGATAAGAACCACCCTTGTGTCCCCAAGTCTCTCTTCGCACATGAAGACTTTTAAGATGACTGACCACTTCAAAGATCTAGAAGCCTTAACAGAAAACTTCTTCGACAACCTGCTCAAGATTCGTAGGAACGACGCCATTTTTCGTGTCTCTGGCCTGATGCGGCGCATATCTGAACCAAACTACGCGTTAGCCGGTGGCGACGTGGACATGGACAGAGTGAGTGTACTCGCCGGTCTTGTGCAGCTTCCATTCTACGCGCGCGAGCTCCCAATTGCCATTAAATACGGTGGAATCGGCGCCATCACAGGTGGTCTCGTAGCAAGGATAATCACGGGAGAGGGCACCTCAAAGAACGAGATCGGTAGGACCAGCGAATGGTGGTCTGGAGATACATACCGCGAGTACAAGAGAAGAGCATTTTGCTTTGCTAAGCAAACCGACCCAACGTCCCTTCAAAAGGAGGAACCGCGCGTCGTGCCACATTATCTAGGATTGAGAATCGCTTTCGACGCATTGCAGTACGCCAGGATGGACCGCGGGACTCAAGTATTGCTGCCGACCTTTCTGGGTGCTGAGGAGCGGCTATTCTTCATTACCTACTGTCTCGGTTTGTGCGGCAGCGTGAACGTTGCAGGTGAATTGTCGCTGCCTCTGCAGTCGTTTCGGCTCTGCAATGAAGCCGTCAGAAACATGCCTGAATTCTCGGAGGCCTTCAGGTGCCCGAACACCACAACCTCTCCAAACGCGACGATGAATCCAAACGAGAAGTGCGAGTTGTATTGACTACAGAAGCTTAACGATTTCTTTCTACACAAATGCTGTCGCCGTTGTTTTTTTTTTTTTTTTTTGTTATTAGTTTGCGGGAGCGTCCGTGCCTAATTCATTGAGCGGTCTGAGCGAGGCTATTTGCGAGCTTTCTTCTCACTATCAACGTTCATGAAACGTGGGTGATGAAATGGCAGAAAATAAAACGTAAAACAAAATTCGATCTTAAGTTTGAATTGTTATTGGTTGTAGAACCCGCGCATAACTTCAATCGGCGCTTGATGAAATGCTACACTTCAAAAACAATATTAAGTGCGTAAATAGGATACGCAGTTTGCAAACAAACTCTCACAGACAAAATAAAGTAAGAAAAATAATGCGCCGTATTCACCAACACCAATGAGCTAGAGGCGATTCCGAAAGTGTAGGGTGTCCCAAATCCCCAGGCTGGATCTACAATCGACCGTAGAAATCGACGCCTGCACGTAGAAACCTAAACATTTTGTCAAATCTGTATTTAATAGGTCGGATTTTTTTCGTGAAATTACAAAGTGTAGCTCTTTTTCTGTAAATAAATAGGGCCAAGAAACTTGCCAGGGTCAATGGCGGGCGCCGACGCAAACGACAAAGTAGAGTAGCCGGGTGGGTTTCGCGCTCGTATTGATAGATGGCACCACCTCCTTATCGAGACTAGAGTGCCTTCATACACACGCGCGCTTTTGCTTGAGTGGTGACATCTCAGCCATTTTTCCGCCCAATCGTTTTTTTTATGCATTTTGAAGTGCGCGCAATCTGGTGTCATTCAGCTCGAGCGCGTAGCTTTGGCTAATGCATAGACGCCATTTTACCGCCCAAGTCACGCACCGAGTGCGCGAGAGCGTCACGCGCTGGCACATTCAGCGCAACAATGGATGTCTTCACCCTGAGACAGACAGACATGTAGGCACCCTAATCGAGACTAGAGTGCCTTCATACACACACGCGCTTTTGCTTGAGTGGTGACATCTCAGCCATTTTTCCGCCCAATCGTTTTTTTATGCATTTTGAAGTGCGCGTGATCCGGTGTCACTCAGCTCGAGCACGTAGCCTTGGCTAACGCATTGACGCCATTTTACCGCCCAAGTCACGCACCCAGTGCGCGGGAGCGTCACGCGCTGGCACATTGACGGCAACAATGGATGACTTCACCCTGAGACAGACAGATATGTAGGCACCCTAATCGAGACTGCTCGTGACCACCGTGGTTTATTAAAATCAACATAATATTTTTGTGATGTAGATTTGGTTAAAAAATAAATGCGAACAATAAAAGCAAAGCTTAAAGGAGCGGTGCAACGATATTCAATTGGAATGTTTTTCACTTGACACGAGCTTACTGGCACACCTAAGACTCAAGGATACTCACACGCAACGCCACTGGCCTAGAAACCCCTTTGTTGCGGTGTAATTTCAAGGACAAAAGTGATCATTCTCATTTAATCTCTCCTTTGCAAAATTTGATGACGTAACGTGGGGATCGCAGTACACCCAAGTGACGATATTTGAATGCGGTTCATAGATTGGACCCGAGCATTGCGTGGGCACTCGACTTGGGCTCGGGATAATTGCTAGCTCGAGAAGCATTCGGGTAGTAACCCGTGTCCAATCGCTGCAACGACGACAACAGCCGAGCCATAACAATGTCTGGAACTCAGCGCGTGTCCTGCGCTTTGCCAACCCCAGCGCGTGGCTATGATGAACACTGGCGGCATATAATCGGCTCCAGATCACGTGGCCGCTTGTTCTGGCTGCGAGTTGAGGGGGTGAACGCTGCTCGTTTTTCTTTATTTTTTTTCTGGGACTTCTATTGCGTGGGGTAAAAACGAACGCGTGTTTCATAGGTCATTAACGTTAGGGATCCGTTTTAAGCGGTATTTGCGCAAAGTACAAAAATTGTTGCATCGCTCCTTTAAAGAGAAAAAAGGCTCGAGGTACACCTAAGCACTTATTATGAGTTGTGAATGCGAAAGCATGAATGTCTTCCTTTCGCGTGTTTTGGTGAAGTGGCTGCGCCGCACTCCGGATTATGCTCGAGTGGGCTCTCTCTCAAAAGCCGCGCCAGCCAAACGCTTCCTCCTCCCGGCACGCCCTGGCGCGGGAGACCGTTTCCGCAGCCCGCTAAGCACCCGGATAGCGCTCCGTAATCCGCCACAAGACCTTGAACAATGCAGACAAGCTGAACAATGCAGACAAGGCTGGCGGCGCGCATGTGCAGCTGCGGCGTTTTCTTCTCGGATACTGTAGCGGAGGAGAAAAACGGTCTACTACAATTCCCTAATGCTTCCGGATTAAAGAAGGCGTTTGCTGCCAACGAATTTCGTTCGCGTGTCGTTTGCTTTCTTCGGCTGGTCGGCTACACCTTCGGACGCTGCTCCCGACGCCATCTATCAATACGCGCGTCAAACGCACCCCGCAACCCGACTCGGTCGTCTGCGTCACCGTCCGCCGTACTAGATCAGCTGGCGTTTGTGAGCTCGTTGTACAAGAGCGTGCCAGAACAACAGAATTTAACACAGTCTCCCATGCCCCTTGTTAGACTTCTTTTTCTTTAATTGGAGCTTGATGGAAAAACGCGGTTATGGAGCTTTCTTTTGTTATGGGGCCACCTCAACATGTTTTACGGACAATTGTGGGCAGAACGTTAAGTCAGCGTTAAGCAAGCACCGTAGATGGTTCACACATGTTGTTTTAAACCTTTTCGCGAAACTCCATATGGAGTTGATTCCAGAACGATAAGTTTGGAACAAGCGAAAAGGTTCCCGTAAATCTTCCGGACACCGTCTCTATAAACACCAACAAAAAGGCGTTTCAAGGGGCCGGCTCTTAAGACGCCCCTCAACAGTTTTCGATGGGTACTGACTGCAAAGGAGTGCTCTTGAGTCGATATCTGGTCTGCCAGTGCAACTGAACATTATTCCTTCCAGCGACTGATACGAATACTGCAATGGTTTCACCAACCTCTGAGGTATAACCTCCTATCTTTTAAAGTTGAGTCACAAAACAAAATGGCCGCCGAGGTCTAACCTACGGCATTTAAAAAGAACATGATTAGTACTAAATCTGATGCGAAACATTTTTCTCATTCAAAAAGACAGCGTGTAGATACAAAACGAAAACATCTTGTCGATTCTCATGATAAATTCTCTAAATGCCAATGTGCCCGAACGGCAGCGGTCGATGTCTTAGAATCGCACGCAGTTTCTCCTATGCTTTAAATGTGGAAGTCTGTGTTTGTTTGCGAAACCAAGGTTCAGTTATTAGAAAACCGTTAACGAAGCAGATTTATCCCGATAAAGACTGCTTCAACCCACGAAATATCTTTCTTGCCTATGTCACTTCCTTCACTGTTCACACCTGTAATTAATTAACCGAGGGCTAGTTGGAAGTTAAAACACTTCCATTAATTTGGAACAATTACAAGAATAAGGGCTCTAGATTTTCGTGGCAGTTGTCGATCTGAGAGGCATGCCATTTAGGGGAAGCGAAATTGGAATGGGAGTTTTGCAGCTACCTTTTCGGCTGCTGCATAACTCAATTCATGTGTGATTAATGATGTCACTCGACATGTTAGCAAGAGGTTCACCTGTGGTACAAGTCGACATCGTGACCAATTTGTATAAACTTGCCCGCGTATGTACTCTATGAGTCTAGCTGTAATTCTAGTCAAACAAATTCATAAACGGAGTTAACATTTTAAACGAAAGCAATTTAGTGTTTTTTTTTGTTTTTTTTTTTCTGGTTAAGTTGCTGGACGTGAACGACAAATCCTAATAATTTCCGCAATGTTTATTTCATTTCATTTTTGTACCTCAAAATTACTACATTGTAAATTGCTAAAACGGTTCATTATTTGCGAAGTAGCTTCTAAACAATCGCATCCGCCTCAATGCCAGCAAGGAAAACTTGAATTCCATTGAATCTATGATTATAAACAAGGGTCGACAATAATCGTACGATAAAAGATATCTAGATTTAACAAGTTCAAAAATACGCATATTCCCGTCGTCATCGTTACTTCCACCACCACCATTATCATAGGTAGAGGTCTCATAACAGCCTCAGCCCAGGGCCCCCAAATGCCTTAATCCGGCACTGGTCACATCGCTAGGTTTTGAGCTTCACAAATCATCTCTGTTTTGTACGTTTTAGGATGTTGGCCACGCCTGTCTACTTCGTGCCCCAAGTTCTAAACTCTTTGTTTTAAAAAACTTGCCTTTCTTTAACTTCACCCGGATACCTTGTCTGCTCAACGCCTGCATCACTTGCTCTGATCGGCAGTAACATTCAGCTGGGTCTTTACCAGCAATCAGCACGTCGTCCAAATAACAGGTGATACCATTGATGCCTTTAAACAAAACTTGGTCTATCACATCCTTAAACATTTCGGGTGCCCTGGCCACGCCATAGGGTAAACGGGAGAACCTAAAAAGAACCATATGCGTATTTACCGTGAGCAGTTCTTGTGCTCTTTAATTAATTAATTAATAGTGTTTACCAAAACGGTAAACACGATTCCTCCAACAAGGGATGCAAACATGTGCTCCGGCAGTGGCTGCGGGTAATCGTCCACCTCAATGGCCTAGATTACAGTAACTCTGTGATCCCCAGATAGGTGTATTTCTTTGCCGCCTTTCTTGGGCACGATTACTAGTGGCGTTGCTGCAGGCACTATGCCTGACCTTGTAGGTGACATCCGCTTCCTCCAGATAGGTTAGCTCTTTTTCAACTTGCTCGCGCAGAACATATGGAACTGGCCTCACCTTACAAAAGACTGGATTTGCATAATATTTCGTTACAATGCTACCCCTGAACCCTTTCATGGCTCCGTACCCAGGCTCAAACACATGACCGTGTTGCTCTTATAGTCGTTTTTGAGCTTTCATTGTTTCCATGGGCCTGACCTCTTGCACGTTCGGCACCACTTCATGCAGCTTCTGAACGCCCTTATAGAGATTAACCTTAATATTTGGGAGCCAGTT